ATTAAAAAATAGAAATAATATTGTGAAGAAAAAGAGAAAGAAAAAGAAAGAGAGAGCGCATGGCAAAAGTTCTTCAGTAGCGAACTCGTGGAGAAGAGATATCGAAGAAGGGCCGCGCCTGTTGATTAGCGGATATCTTAATTACTGATTGGCTGCGCGGACTAATTAAATCGTAACTCAATCAGGAGTCCGACCTGCCTCCTGCGCCATAGCGATTTTACGAGCGTGTACACGCGGTTTGGGGCCTCCACATACATACGTGAGTCGCTGATGGCGTATAGATGACTTTAAAGCTTTGAGTAATGCACTCCAACTACCCCCCTTCTTACCCTGCCCCTTTTACATATTCCTTCCACCGATCTTTCTCGCGCGGCAGTGTCTGTTTTTTACCTCACCTTCTCTCTTTGCACTCCTTCCTTTTTTTTTTTTATCAGCGACCTCCTCGCTCTGAGGCTGCCTCGACGGTATTATATTCGCATGGAATAAAAAGTACAAGTAATTAGTAGTACCTACCGCCGCGTCTCTTGTCCGTTGAGCAATGTCCTTCGGATCCTCCTACCTTTCATTCATATAAACCATTCAAGACATGAATTTTCAATAGCAGATCATGCAGATACGTTTTTGTACTGGTGTTTGAGTGTCTTTCATCTCTTTGCATGTGTGCAATGCGGGTCCGTGAATTTCGTAACGCGAGGCTCAAGACCCGTATATCGTTTCGCATTTAATGGCATATTTAAATTAACTGAATTGTTATTTCATATTTACATTTGAAATGCACCATTCTTATTATAGAAAATGAAATTTCATTATCAGATGGTCATGATCAATACTAGGCATACGAGTAAAGAATTTTATATACGAGTACAATAACTCGTATTTTTTTCCGTCATAGGAAAAAATCCTTCCTTCGAGTAGGATAGCAATTAACTTGTGAGTCAATTATAACTATAATTACGGTGGATAACAATAATTACATCGGATCCAACGCACAGTGTATCATATATCTTATACATATAATGTATTAGGAATGTGATTTAGTTTTAAGTGTTTCGCAAGAGATAGCATTAATGTCAGTGTTGCCGACGACATTTCACAGCTATTGTTTGATGACGCTTTAATATTACTCCATGATATTTAGTCACTTACTGACAATAGACGCAGTAAACATCGTATTTGTACCATCTTAAAAATGCAGCTTCCTAAAGAGCTTATTTTCGACACGCGTTACTTTATTTTTTAATCAGAAGAAAATGGCGGCTGAAAGTCGTTATTTCAAAAATTCTAACTTATGATGATACTGCTCCATCAATTAAGACATGTGAATATTGGTTCAGTCTTTAAAGATTTATATCATATTATTTTATATTTTAATATAAATGCTATTTCCTCGATCCATGCGATGTAAAAAAGTGAACTAAATTAGAATAAGATGTATAATATTGTAATACGATTAAAAAAGTAAAACTTTATAATTACGATAGAATAAGATCTTTAGT